CGCGCGGGGACGAGGGTCGTTCGGAGGTCGTGGCAGAGGCAGAGGACGAGGAAGAGGATCGGCCCGTCCCGCGTTGACCAAGGAGCAGCTGGACAACCAACTGGATGCTTACATGTCTAAAACGAAAGGACACCTCGATGCCGAGCTGGATGCTTACATGGCTCAGACAGACCCCGAAACGAACGACTGAAGGTCGTTCCAGAGACTGTTGCCGAAGTTCGTGTGTTGTGTCGATGCCCATAAGCTCAAAACGGAAACCCTGATTGGTGCCGGAAGGACCCGCAGGAGCAGGGAGCGACCCTGTTCCCCCGAGCGATCAGACTGTAGTGTGTTCCTTTAACGTTTTGATACTATTTGTTGTACGGAACCTTTGGATTGGGTTTTTTTTTTTTTATTTTTTTTTTTTTTTTTTTTTTTTTCCTCTTTCCCCGAGTACTCCCAACACGAATGTGACACCTGCTCCAGGCAATCCGCTGGCATCGGCACCAGTGACTCGCCGTGCCCATTAGGTGAAGCGCTCGTGCCGGGATCGCCTGCTGATGTGCCTCTCGGGCTCCGCGGTTGCGTTTTGGGATCGGCCCCGTCCCCAAGCGCAACCCAAGGGCCGAGTTTCCGTTTAACCCACCTGAAGCAAAACAAAAAAAAAGAAGAAAATACCAAAATCCCCAAACCCCTCCCAGCAGAGCGAGCGGTCAGGCCGGGTTTAGCTGTAGCGCTCCTGCAGACCCACCGATCTCCTTGTTTCGCACCAAACCTTCCTCTTCTGGTGGTAGGCAGCCTTCTGTTAGCGCATTTCCCAGGTTGAAAACTTCCTCGGTTTGTTTTTTTTTTCTGTTGTTTTTAGATAAAGTTTGTATTCCTTTGGCATCGCGTTTGAAGGGAGGCAGCGGTGGTTTCTGTATCTGCAAACAAATGTTTATTTAAATTGGAAGCAGGAACATAAAATTACAGCTGTGACGGCAAAGTGTGGTCGAGCTGTCTTTTTCTTTTCTTTTTTTTTTATAAAACGCAGGGTCCAAAATCCGTCTGTCGGTGTAAACACAACCGCATCCTCCGGTCCGAGCAGCTGCCTGCCCGTACCCCTGGGTTTGGGAAGGGGTCCGTTCCTTCCCCCCACCTCAAGTTTTAAGTTCAGCCATTCTGTAAACTGTTCCAGTTTCAACGGAATCTTGTATTTCTGGTTTGTTGTAACAAAGGAGAAATGAATATAAAAGCGATGTGGACTCTGGGTGTTGGTTTTTTCGTGGTGGTTTTTTTTTTTTTCCTCCCGCTCTGCCTCGTTCTGGGGTGAACGGACTTTGCGGGAGGGTTTTCTGCTGCGACAGCTCCACCGCGGACCCTTGTGGGATGGGGAATCCC